AAACCCAACTATCTTAAAATAATGAATAGGGAGGGTTAGGCTAAATGTTTGACATAAGAGCCTGACAACATGAGTTTGATCCTCAGAACCCACAGTGAAAGGAACAAACCAATGTGTACATGTTCAAACATGTACATCATACACACAAACTAAAACAAAAAAAAAAATAAATAAAAAGAATTAGGAATGTGACTGGTGGTTATTTTCTCGGCAGTTACAATAAAAGTCAGTGTGAGCAAAATTAACCATCAACAAGAATTCTACATTCAATAAAAATGCTCTTCAGAGTGAAGGCAAGGAGGATGTTTTCAGATAAAACAGAAACAGGGAATCTGGTGCAACCAGAACTGAATCAAAAAGGAAATGTATTCTTCAGGACAAAAGAAAAAGGATCTCACATGGGATGTCAGAGATGCAGGAGGGAATAAAAAAGTATGGCAACCAGAGGGTAAACCAAGGCCATCAGGTCTCTCCTTCAACCAAGCAATCCTGGAACAGAACTCAGGCCATCACTGGCAAGTGCCTCGAGCCACCGAGCCATCTTACTGGTCCCAGTTTGTAACTCTTCTGATCGTGCATGCACTCATGATCAGAAGTGCCCCCAATGCGGGTGTTTCTGTCTAAGGGAAGGGAGATTTGGGGGTACCCTGGATGTGCTTGTCAACCCAGAAGCTCTCTGAAACCATCCACTTCTAGCTTTTCAGGTGTCTTATAGGAATGGCTAAAAATATCATTAGCTATTTGTAATTAGTTCAGCCTTCAACCTCTGCCCCCTGACTCTGATTCTATCTAGGAACGCACCTAGAGTCAGCTCACTGACATAAAACTTGGAACTGATTGAAGGGAATTTACTATGAGTTTACATACATATTACAGTATCAGAAAAGAACATCTCGATGGATGTAGTTGGGCAAGCCTTTAGTATCAGTGCTCAGGAGTTGGAGGCAAGTAGATCTCTGTGAGTTCAAGGCCGGGCTGATCCATGAGTTCCAGGCCATCCAAAGCTATGTAGTAAGACTCTGTCTCAAAGCAAAACTTTCAGTTATCTACAAGGTTTATTTTATGTAAGGGTATCTGCCTCTTCCAAATGTGTATGTAAGGGTATGAAGTTTGCTTCCTTTCTTTGAACAAAATACTGTCACAACAGACGAATATAGAAGAACAAGTGGAATTCGACTGATTCTTATTAAGATCAAACATTAACTGTATTTGCAAAATAATAAATACATAAAACCATACCATTCTTCTCACACATTTTTGTTTGTGTCATTTGCTTTTTCTTATTTCAATGCGAATGAGTCTGTTTAAGATTGCTGTTTCAGTCTTTACTATGGCAAGTATAAGAAGCTGTCTGGGAAATAAAAAGCCAGTTGGCAGACCCCAGTGTACAGCTGTATTAGTCAGGGTTCTCGAGAGGAACAGATCAACGGAAAGAATGTGTGCTACAAAGGGGATTGGCTTACGTGATGCAGGCTGGATAGTCCAACAGTGGTTGTCCAGATGCTGAAGAGGCTGAGAACCTACTGGCTCTTCGGTCCATGTTTCTGGATGCCTGTCTGGTGCTGAATGCCTGGAAGACTCCTAGAGAGCCACTGGATGGAAGCCTGCAGAAGCTGGGTTCTCATGGTAGCAGAGTACAGCCGTGGCAACAATGAATGGATGCACTCGGCAGCAGGAAATGGAGGCTCTCACGAGCGGCTCTGTCTTTCTCTTGGAACTCCTTATCTCTGGGCCAGGGCTGAAAGGTGCTGCCAACTGTGGGGGACAGCCTCCCCCCCTCTGCTATGATCCCCTAGAAATACTTGCCCAACCCCCCTCCCCAGAGGCATATCGCTCAGTGGATTCTAATCCAATTTAATTGTCAACCAAAATTAATCCTCACAACAGCCTTTGCCAATTCTGTGATGTAAATATTCCCACCGTGACAGATTTTAAGCAACTAATGTGATTTCAGTGCCAGATGCTCTCACAGAAGGTCACGGCCAGTTGTAGCTCCACTCAATATAATGCTTATAAAGAGGTCCTGGAGTGTAGCTGGAGAGGTGGCCTAATGGTTAGGAGCATTGATTGCTGCTGCAGAGGATCCAGGTTCGGTTCCCAGCACCCATGAGGTAGCTTACAACTGTATGTAACTATAGTTCCAGGGGATCCTACATAGCCTTCTGGCTTCCACAGGCACATGAATGCACACACAAAATTGAAATTTTTTTTAAAAATTAAGACCCAAAGAAAAACCACTGCTCTGGGGAAATGGCTATCCCTGGTACTGTGATGGGAGGTGTCATTCTGTTTCTCGTATTGGTTAATGAATAAAGCACTGTTGGCCAATAGGAAGGCAAGATAGGTGGGACTAGGAGACAAGGAGGATTGAGGGAGAGGTAGTAGTAGATTCAAAATGTAGGACCGAGAGTGCAGAACTCCAGACCTTCTCTCTGGTAAGATGAGACCACGTGCAAATACTTAGATTAATAGAAATGGGTTAATTTTTAAGACAGAGCAAGCCAATAAGAAACACTAGTAACAGGCCAACAGCTTTATATTTAATACAGTGTCTCTGTGTGTTATTTGGGGGTGGCACAACTCTGGGACCAGGCTGGCAGGAAAACTACTCGTAACAGTGCTGGGGTAATTAATCTTGATTGTCAACTTGTTTGATTGAATTTTTAAAATGTCAGGGAGATTTGTGAAGCTCACCCTGACTATGAATACAGTGGCTCACAGGTAATGCATTGATCCCTTGAGGGACTTGTTACTGGGAGGTGGAGAAATAAGGAAGGTGGCACCTGGTTGAAGGAAGTAGGTCACTGGAGGCCTGTCTCCAGGGGCATATTGTATACCGTCCTCCTGTATGTGCTTTTCTATTATGAAGTAGTGTTTTGGTGCCTCGGATGAAGGGTCCCCATGCATATGCCAGATTAAAAAGAACAATCCCAAGAGACTCTGCCAAACCACAACCTTCAAGGTCACGTCTATGAGCCCATCTTTTTGGTAATAAGTGGTTCTAATAGCAGCCTAGTGAGGGGCTTTGCTAAACCACAAACCTGCAGTCAAGGATACTGCTAGGAAGACCATCTGGCAAAACTGGTGAATGCACACATCTCTGCTCCTGAGCACACAACACCCATAATGTTCCTCTCCTCTTAGTCTTTAACACCCACCGCCCCCACACACCGGTTGTGACAACTTTTCTAGATGTGCCTACAATTGATTATCACATGTGTTCATCCAAGGTTGGAAAATATTCATGCCTGAATACATTATTTTCTTAAGTTTTACGGTCTTCTTGTAGTACTAAAAACACACCTAAGACTAGAGAGGTGGGTCAGTTTGCCCGTCACACAGGGGACCCAGATTCAGTTCCCAGCAGCACACAACCACCCATAACTCCAGTTCCAGGAGATCTGATGCCCACTGTGGAGTCACTTTCTCCTTCTGCCTTATGTGGCTTCCAAAGACCAAACTTTGCTTATCAGTCTTACATGGTAACCCTCTGAGTCATGTTTCTGGCATAGAGATGGTGTGTGTGTGTGTGTGTGTGTGTGTGTGTGTGTGTGTGTGTGTGTGTGTGTGTATTCAAGTCTTTGTAAGACTATGTAACATTTGTACTCATGTGGTACAACTGTGCCTCACTGTGGCTACTTCAGACAAATATTTCTTCCAGGGCTGGATAGGCAGCTCAGTGGTTAAGGTCACTGATGACTGATTTTCCAGAGGACCCGCGTTCAATTCCCAGCACCCATGTGGTGACTCACAAATTTCTGTAACTCCAGTTTCAGAGGAGCTGACCTTGTCTTCTGGCCTCCATGGGCAACAGGCATGGATGTAGGACACATGTAAGGAAAACACCCATACATACAAAACAAAACTTAATTTTAAACACTTTCCTCTATTTATTAGTGCATCCTTTTTTAGGTTAACCCTTCCTCCCTCCCCCCCCCCCTTTCTCTTTGCTTCTCTCCTCTTTCTCTTGTTCTTTCTCTTACTGTTTCTTCCTTTCCTTTGCCAGAGTTTAAACTAAGGGCTTTTTCACACCGAGTTACATAACATTCCCCCAGACCAGGCTTTTCGTAAGAGCTATAGAACATTGCACCATATGAATGTACTTCACGATATAGAACCAGCCCTCTGAAGATAGACATCTTGTTGGCTCCTGAGCCTTTGGCCTAGAGAATAAGCAAAACATGGGGCTCTGTCTCATTGAGCAGAGCTGAAGTCTATTCATTAATGCATTGCAACCTCACCTTAGCACCTAATACACACAATGTGAAGTGCTTATGAAATGAATAAATGAATGAATGAGTGAGTGAATGAATGAATGAAGAGTGAATGAATGAACCCATATTGTGTTAGCTGCAAACACAACGCAGGATTCTTCATGGAAGCCCCTTAGGCAGAGTTACAGACAGGGAGTGGATGGAAGCCAGTGATTTAAGCTGGAGTTAGAATGGATGAGAGTCTCAAGTGTCCCACCAGGTAGCAGAATGACTCCTTGTGTGAAGCACACAGAGATGCCGTTATGACACCAGCCTCCAAGGGCTGCTGTCAGGGAATGTCTGTTAGAATCTTAGCACACAGCACTAAGCAGTATTAGAATCCAACCCACCTTTAAGAAATAGTCCAACCCACCCCCCTTGTAAAAGTATGGCAAGGGTATTGTAAGACTATGACCAGGGTGGGCGGTGCCCTCTTGTAACAGGAGAGATACCTGCTGTTTTCACAGAGGTGCCTTTTCAGTTTGGTTCCTTTGTGCGGGAGCCAGCTAGCCTCCTCCAGAATCAACTGCTTCCTGCTGAAGACTTTCCGTTGCTGCGTCTGTCACCATAGAGACAGTCAACAAAAAAGAATCCAAGATCACATCACTGTCCTGAGAGGAAAGTGAGCTCTCCAGGCTTTGTTTTAAATTTCCTGAACTTGACGAAGTGTCATCTGCTACCCACTCTGGGAAGGCAGATGAGGAGATGAACACTCTAGCAACCCCCCAATACCTGTCTGACCCCTGAGTCTGCCAAGTCAAAGGGACGCAGGACAGATCCTTACCATGTTTGTGACCTCAGCGGTTCCTCAGGCATTTTCTACTCCAGGCTGGCAGATTGAAAAGAAGTATTCAACGAGAGTGCTCGTTGGGAACTGGGTGGAGGAGAGGAGGAAGGTAAGAAGGGAGATCCAGAGGGAAAACAGCTCAGAGAGGACCAACGGTTGCTACTCTCAACTGTGAGGCAGCCCACAGCTGAGGCTTAAGATCATGGTAGGGTCTTTGTGCTCTACATAGTAGAGATGCGTCCATGAAATAATTAAGGTCCCTCCTTAAGTCTTAAAGACACCGTAGAAAGGGTATTAATACAGTTGTACCTCTAGCACTGTTGTAACTGGACTGTTTCAAGGTATCAACATGTTCCCTGATTTCTACTTTTAAATTTTGTTTATTAGTTTTTTTTGTTGTTGTTTTGTTTTGTTTTTTTTTCAGATAGAGTCTTCCCACATACCTCCAGCAGCTCTGAACTCACTATTTAGACCAGGCTGACCTTGAACTCACAGAGAGCTGTCGGCCTCTGCCTCCTGAGTGCTGGGATTAAAGGCATCTGCTACCACCGTTTTTCTTCTTTAAAGTTTTTTACTAGGCTGGAGGCATGGCTCAACGGTTAAGAGTACTTACTGTTCTTGTAAGGGACTGAAGTTCCGTTCCCAACCCCTTCCCCCACAGCAGCTCACAGACAACTCCAGGAGTCTAGTTCTCCTCTGGCTTCCTTGTGCTGTATGAACATGGTGTACTTGCACACATGGAGACAAATACCTATACATGTAAAATTAAAATCATGCATAAATCTTTAAAAACAAGAAACAATAATTTGTGCATGCAGATGCCTGCAGAATCATATCCATTGTGGGAACTGGAACTACAGGCAGTTATGAACGGCCTAGAGTGAACAATGGCAACTAAACTTGGCCCTCTGCAAGAGCAGTAAGCGCTCTTAACTCCTGAGGCAGCCTTTGTACTTTTATCTGAAGAACGTCTACTCTTCTCAGCCAGTCCCTTCTCTGACCATAGCACCCACTGAAGCAGCCATGGCCCATCCTGCAGTGACATGGATGCACTTGTGCCACAGCCCTGCCCTGCCTGTGTTTAGTGTCTGCATTCAAAACAAAACAGTTTCTTGGTGTTGCTTTGCCTGAATGGGCCACTTGAAACTGAATATTCCCCTTTGTGGCCAGCAAGGATGAGCTGCTTAGAGCTTTGCAGAGACTGGGCTTGAGTTGTTCCATCGGTACAGTGCTTGTTTAGCCTGCATGAGACCCACCCAGGGTCGGTGCTAGAAATACATATACTAGGAGGTGAGGCAAACACCTGCAGTCCAGAGCTCTCAGAACTCAGATTATGGCAGAAGGCTCTATATTTTGAGGCCACTTTTGGTAACAAATTGAGTACAAAGCCAGCCTGATACACACACACACACACACACACACACACACAGAGTGAGAGAGAGAGATGTAGATATATGACATGGAGGTATATGATATAGATATATAAATATGATTCACATAGATATGATATATATATATACATATATGTATATGTATATATGTACACAATTTTTTTCTTTTCAGAGATACCTAGACATCCTCATATAATCTTGGGAAATGAGAAAGGAAAAGAGGTTAAGAGAATTGTCATCTTTGGTGTTGGGAGAATGGGGAGAGCTGGCAGTACTTTATGTCAACCTATGCAGCTCTGTCTATAAGACCTGAGATCTGAAGGTCTTAAAGAATGGGGCTGACTACAGTCTAACACTAAAGACAACTTTACTTCAATTTCAGTGTACTTCTTTCTATACATGAATAAAACAAAGGAAGTAACGATCTAAGGAAGGTTGTCTGAGTTCAGAAAAACATGTAAATAAATGTCAGTGCCTCAACGAGATGATGGGACAGACTCAGTAGACTTCCTAGGGCGGCCTTACCCTCTGCATGGAGCAGATGGTAGGGGGAGGGGGTGTGGGAGGAGAAGAGGAAGGGGGAACTGGGATTTTAATATAAAAAATAAATTAATTTTTAAAAAAACTTGAAAAACAAAACAACAACAAAAGTATCAGTAAGTACATACTAATTATTAAGAAAGCAGCCCTTTCCCAAAACTTTCTCAGGACAGACCAATTTAAACACAATTGCCTGGCATGTACTGTAGATTATATGTAGGAAAGCACAAAAGCAAGGCAGATTACCATATCCAAATTTAGGGTACACTGAGGAATGCACTCAACATAGCCTTTCACCAGATTGGGTTCTAAAGCTATGCTCCCATGTCCAACAAAAATAAATATATCTTGTGAACTGGATGTAAATGTTTGCCTCAGGAGGCACAAAATCTAATCCAAGAACATTCTGGGAACAAAATGCACTTAAGGTAAAAGACCCTCTGTCGTTTTTCCTCTTGGAGCCTCTTTCACAGTTCCTCAAGGCATTATTCTCCATTCGTCACTCTTCTGACTGTATTCCATCACTTCGTATAACAAGAAAACACTATTTCCATGGAGATCATCACCAGACATGGCATGAGTCATCGTGAACTTTAGCTGTGCTTGACGTATGTGAGGAAGAGAGGCTCCACAGGGGGAAAAAAAAAATGACTGATGAACAGTTATGGTTCCTGTAGGAGAAAGCTGCAAGGGACTCCAGTCTGTAAACAATCAGTTAGGGTTCCTGTAGGAGAGAGCTTCAAGGGAATCGGAACTATAAATGTCTCAAACAAGAGATAATGGGTAGAGAAGGCCAAAGATGGTGCATATCCTTAATCCTAGAACGAAGGAGGCAGTAGGCAATCTCTATGAGCTAAGGAGAGCCTGGTCTACATAGGGAGCTCCAGTCCAGTCAAGGCTACATAGTAAGACTTTGTTGAGAGGAGGGGGGGGGGGATATGAGGAGAGGAATCCAATATAATGCCTGAAAAAAAAAAAAAAAAAAAAACTAGGCTTTGATGGCATATATCTATAATCTCAACATTTAAAAAAGCTAGGCAGGAGGGTTGCAAGTTCAAGGTCAATGCAGGCTATCTATTTAGACCCTATCAAGAAAAGAAGGAAAAGGGGAGATAGAGGGAAATTACAAAATTTAATAGGAAGTGTGTATGAGAATATGATAAACTACAGAAAAGCCCAGGAAGGATGTATATTAAGAAAAGGCTGGAGAATTGGCTCAGCCTTCATGATGGCTGCCCCTGAAGACCATCTAGTTTAAAAAAAAAAAAAAAAAGTTTCCTCCTTGCACATATCTGGTCAACAAAAGTGGGGGAGTTAGCATTTTTAATTTTTAAATTTTTTTGTAAATGAAAAATGTCATTAGGCATAAAAAGGAAAAGGAAAACATGCCAAAGGAATAAGCAAGGTAGCAGTCTTCCTAAAGAAACAAAGAGTGTCGATGTTCATGGTGGCACACACCTTTAATTCCAGCACTTGGAAGGCAGAGGCAGGCGGATCTGTGTGAGTTTGTGCATCTCTGTGAGTTTGTGGCCAGCCCACTCTACATAGTAATCCCTGTTTCAAAAAAAGAAAAAATAATAGCTGAAAATATCACGGCTTGAGGAAGGACAGGGCTTTATGAATTCCAGAAGTTCAGGGAATTCCAAGGAGAATAAATATAGAGAGACACGTTGGTGATAGCCTTGGCAAACTATTAGAAATCAAAGACTTGAACAACACAACTATTTAGATGTAATATATGCATGTATCATTTCACCTGACAGAACAAGGATATACATGTTTCTTAAGCATTCGTGAAATTTTTCTAGGATAGACCATGTCATACACCACAAAACAATTCTTATTTGTCTGTTTGAGACAAGGTTTCTCCATGTAGCTTTAAAGCCTGTCCTGGAACTTGCTTTATAAACCAAGCTGGCCTTGAACTCACAGAGATTCACCTGCCTATGCCTCCCAAGTGCAGGGACTAAAAGTGTGCATCACTACTGCCCAGCTCACAAAACAGTGCTTAAAAACCAAAGACAAATTGAAATCAGACAAAGAGCCTTTTCTAACAGCATGTAGAACTAAATAAGAAATCAGCAGCAGGCTGAAAAGGTGGTGCGACAGATAATAGCAGATATTACAGAGGACCCAAGTTCAGTTGCAAGGATCCTCCGCCTCCTGCAGCTTACAAGCACTGATGACTCCTGCTCCAGGGAGCTCAACGCCTCTGGGCACTTGCACTCACATTTGCACAAGCACAAGCATACACATACACACACAAGTTGGGAGAGAAAGGTGGGGGACAGAGAGAAGGAGAGAGAGGGAGAGAGAGAAATTAGATAGCAACATAAAGAAGCACTTGTTATATAGTCCCAGCAGGGTGACAGGGAAGAATGTGGGACTACATGGTAAGTCTGAGACCAGGCTGAGCTACATATTGTGACCTTTTTTTTTTTTTTTTTTTTTTTTTTAAGGAGGGAGCAGGAAAACTATAAAAGCAAGAAAATATTGACAAGAAACTGGAGAGATGGCTCAACAGGGGAAAATGCTTGCTTGCTTCGTGTCATGGCTTGCTTCCTGTTGTGAAGAGAGTTATCTGATTGACACCCCAGTCACACACAAGTCAGGGCAGGAATTCAAGCAGGAGCAGAGGGAGGAATGTTGCTTACTGGTTTGCTCCCATAGGTGCTCAGCTTGCTTTCTTATAGAACACAGGACCACCTTCCTAAGATTGGTATTGCCTATGGTATCATGTCCCCCCACAATAATAAATAATCAAGAACCCCCCCCCATAGACTAGTCTACAGACCAATCTGATGGAAGCATTTTCTCAATTGAAGTTTCTTCTTCCCAGCTGACTCTAACCCAGTAACCAGGTGACAAAATCTAACTAGCACATCCTATAAGACTAATGACCTGATTTCAGTTCCTGGGAATCCCTGTGAGAGCTGGCTCTAGTGGCAAATGTGTGGTCCTAGCATCTAGAGCAAAAGGAGAGAAAGAGTCAAGCATCTCTGAAGCTTGCGGCCCAGCCCAGGCTGTGCAGTAGTTCAGCTGCCAACATCTTCAAACAGAGGGAAGGCAAAGAATGGACCAGATGTTGTCCTCTGACCACCACATACAGAACATGCAAACATGGGACAACACATGCCAAACACCACACACACACACCATATACAACACTCACATTACACATACCATACACAACACACACACTCACACACACAACATATACAACACACACAGCCTACACAAAGCGCACACACTACACAAACTATAAAAACTCCATATACCATGCACTCCATACACTCTGCAACACCATACATACTACATAAATACCCCATGTATATTACACACATCATATATTCACACACATCATACATTTCACACACATCAGAGCACACTATCCTCATGAGTTCTGTAATTCCAGTTCTGGGGAATCCAATGCCTCCCTTTTCTGTCCTCTGTGTGTACTACATGCACACGGTTTACAGACATATATGCAAACAAAACACCCGCATGTTTTATGTGTATAACATAAACATTTTAATTAAAAAAAAGTACTAACCCTGTGGCATATGCCTTTAATCCCAGCACTCAGGAGGCAGAGGCAGGCAGATCTCTGTGAGTTCAAGACCAGCCTGATCTACAGAGTGAGTTCCAGGACAGGCTTCAAGCAATATAGAGAAACCCTGCCTAGAAAAACCACAAATAAATAAATAAATAAATAGTCATAACCCCAATCCTGTTCAAATACTCTCCAAAAATGTGATTTAAAAAATGGAGCCTATAACCTCTTAGGAATAATGATGTAGTAGGTTATAGTGACAAGTGTCTGTAATCCCAGCATTCAGAGGCAAAAGGACCTCCAGTTCAAGGTTGCCCAGTGGTTAGAGCACCATCTAACCTTCCTAACATTTAATCCAGTACAGGGGAGGCTGAGGCAGAAGGATTCTGAGTTTGGGGCCTGTCTGGGCTATATTGAGACGTTGCATCAGAATAAAAAAGAAGGGAGGAAATGGAAGGCAGAAAGGAAGAGAGGAAAGAAGGGAGGGAAAGGAAAATGAGGACAGAGCAGGGGCCCCACCTACCAAGAACGTCAGGCAACTGGAGAGCCAGGGCACTGGAGAGCCAGTCCTCCTCAGGCATGAGCTCTGCAACGGGTTACCTCCTCAGTGAGTCTTTAGCTTTTTATTAAACCAAACTGTTCATTAGCATTCAAAAAATCCAAAGTCAACAAGACACCGCATACGATCCCAACTCTGTGTATTTTCTATCTTTGCGTGGTTTATCTTTTTCATATTATTCTCTCTTTGAAAACTTTCACCTTATTATTTATAAACTATTTTTCTATGACTGTTTATGCCCATGTTCTTTTCTTTTTTAAACAAACCGTAATCTGTGTAGAGTTTGTTTGTTTGTTTGTTTGTTTGTTTTTCTTTTCATCCATCCGTCTTTAGAGTACCTGCAGCACTCACTCACAGCATGAGACAAATCTTAAAATGCCATGTCAGCTGCCTCATGGCTCTGCCTCATGGTGCTGACTCATGTGATGGCAGCTGCCTCCAGCCCCCAGGCAACAGCCAATAGTGGTGCCTTTGTACACCAGTGCGTGCTAGCCTGCCTGAGAGACTGCAGGACTAGGAAGCTATATCTGGCTTCTTGTCCAGAACTTTCCTTAGCTTTCTCAGGCCCTGTGTTTGGATATATGAACCCCCCTGTGGATTTTTAGATGGATTTTTCTTTGAGCCACCAGCTTACAACACACACACACACACACACACACACACACACACACCACACACACACACCACTTGGCCTTTATCTTAGTTTAGCTTAGGTTTCTCCCCTATTTATTATTATTTAAATAGATGGATTTTTTTTTTCCTTTGGAACACCGGCTTGCCACACACACACACACACACACACACACACTTATTATTAATTATGAAAGCTTGGCCTTTAGCTTAGATTTGTCCCACTACCTCTTACAACTTAAATTAACCTCTTTCTAGCCAGCCACATGTTGCCACGTGACTCCTCCTATATGCCTTGCTCCCTCTGCATCTGGCTGGCTTCTTCTGCCTTTCTTCTTCCCTGAGTTCTCTCTGTCCAGAAGTCCCACCTATTCCTCCCACCTATTGGCTGTTTAACTTTTTATTACACCAATCACACTGACACATCTTCACACAGAGTAAAGGAGACAGCCCCACACAAAGGGACTGGAGAGATGGCTCGTGGTTAAGATCACTGATTGCTCTTCCAGAGAACACAGGCTCAGTTCTGATGCTGTCTTCTGGACTCTGATGGCACTGCACACATATACAGGCCAGCACCCATATACATAAAGTAAAGAAAAAAATTTAAAATAATGAGAATAAAATTAATTTTTAAAAATGTTTCTTAAAAGGACAAGGGGGAGGAATAGAAAGACTTGAACCCAACACAACCATATGACCGACCAGTTCTTCTGGATATAACCTGAAGAGAGTAAAAACTGAGATTCAGAAAGATATTTCTGTACCCACATGAAGAGCAACGTTATTCATATTTAGTCAAAATGAAGACAGCATGCAGGCAGTCACCAGTGGATGGATGGATGAACAAGATATGCCAGGCCACACAGCCTTTATGAGGAAGGAAATTCTGGACATCAGATGTAATAGGATAAACACTGTGTGGCCACTTATTCTGGGTGCCTGAGATATTCACATTCATAGAAACTGAAAGTAACAAGGCCAGGGGAGCCTGCTGTTTGGGATGTAGACCTTCTAGGTAGGGATACTGGGGGCGGCTGAGCAACAATTTAAGTGTGCTTAATGTTATTGCACTGTATACTTTTAAATGACTAAAATGGAGCTGGGCAGTGGTGGCACACAACTTTAATTCCACCACTCAGGAGGAAGAGACAGGAGGATCTCTGGGTTTGAGGTCAACCAGGTTGACATAGCAAGTTCCTATTGACAACCAGGACCAAAGGGAGGGACCCTATCTCAAAATAAATAAAATAAAATAAAATAAAATAAAATGGACTAGACTTTATGGGCCTGTACATTCCTGTAATCCTGGCACTTGGAGAGAGAACAAAGAAGGAATACCATGATTGCACGGCCAGCCTTAGCTACATTTTGAAACTGTCTAGGCAGGAAAAAAGTATGCAAACAAAACAGCTAAACTAGTAAGTGCTTAATAGCTTACCATATTAAGAAAGCCAATCAGAAAACACAACATCGTGGGGGGAAAAAGAGAGAGGATGGTGATTCATGCCTTTAATCCCAGCACTTGGGAGGCAAGCAAGTGGATCTCTGTGAGTTCGAGGCCAGCCTGGTCTTACAGAGCAAAAAGAAAGTTGCCAACTGAGTCCAAAGCAGCCAGGACTGTTTCACAGAAAAACCCTGTCTTGCTCAGGCCTTTCCTGTGTTATTTGGTGTCTTGGGTTCTTACTCACTCTGTCCCTGTGTGGTGGCTGGCTGGAGGCGGACAGTCTGGGAGTAGCATCTCAGACTTTCTCACAAATATGTTCTTTTCCAGTTCACCAAAGCCACTGACCACACACCCCAGTGCATTTACAGGAAGGAATATGTCCCTTTTCCAGGACACAGACCAGACCATATTTCCAGGTGGTATGGGAAAAGGAGAGTGGAGGTAAGTGACATTTATTAACAGGCGGGATTGTGCCAGAGGCCCTGGGATCCAAGCGCCTCCAGGTACAGCAGGGGAAGACACCTCCTACAGGAGTTTCCTCTGGATGTCCCCCTCTAGGCTTGTGGAGGGGATAGCAAGCTTATCACCATTCATCCACAGGACATACTTGTGCTCTGTGCCACCACCCTCTGGGAGTCCCAAGTGAGAGTCCTGAGTGTTTTGTTTGGCCAGCCTGTTGTCTCCCCATCCCACGTGCCCCAACACCTATTGAAACTCAGGGCAGGGGGGTGGCAGGAGGGAGAGAGAAGTGATTTGTGGCAATCACTGTATCTTAGTGGTGGGGGGGGGGGTGGGGGCAGCAGAGACCAGCTACTCAGAATCCAAAAGCAGGAAACAAATTCTTCCAAATTGTGTGGCTTGATGGTAAGGGAACAAGCAGGGGGCTTTTTCTGTTCATCAGAGGCAATGCATGTGTCTACATTTAAACTTGGGTTTTGTTTGTCTGTTTGTTTTCTTGTTTTGGTTTTTGGCTTTTTTTTTTTTTTTGTCTTGGTACTCACTCTGTAGACCAGGCTGACCTTGAACTCAGAGATATGCCAGCCTCTGCCTCCTGAGAGCCAGGATTAAAAGTGTGCATTGCTGCCACAGACTCCACCAACCACCAGGCTTCTTTTAAACTTTGAAAAAAACAAAACAAAACATTAACTTCTCCATTTGCTGTGGGAGGCGTCTGTGCAGGTGTGCAGGTCAGAGGACAAGCTGTAGGAAATGGTTCTCTCCTTCACCGTGTGGGGCCTGATGAGCAACCTCAAGTCCTCAGGCTTGACAGCAAGTATCTTTAGCAGCTGAGCCATCTCTCGGGCCTTGAGGTATAGCTGAAAAGGATTTTATTCCATCAAAGACTGAAATTCTGATTTCAGTGTGAACTCAAGTTTCCAGGGTGAAAAAAAAAAAAAAAATCTACAACCCTGATTGCCGGTCAAAACTTCCTAATTGAAAGGGGTTGGAATGTTGCAGATCTAGAACCAAATTATTTGGGGCGATCTTTAGTCTTCCTAGTAGCTGTTCATTGTCGTTGAGTCTGAGCTAACATCCTTGTTGAGATCTGGTAAAAATTTTCAAAATGTATTGACTTAGCTCCCCCCTACCCAAAAATGAGAATGTCAGCAGATAGATAGCATCTGAGACTTGTAGCAGATTTCTCTGCTTTGTTAAAAACCTGCCTGACTGGTTTCAAAAAAGTAAAAACAAGCAAAGAAACCCCAACAACAAAACAAAGCCTTCATGAGGGCCAGCTGGCCAGATAGCTCAGTGGACAGAAGGCCCATGCCACCAAGTCTGACAACCTGAATTCCATCCCTGGAATGCTCTTAGGAAGGAGAAAAGCAGTCTCTGCAGTTTGTCCCCTGATCTCCACATATGTTTATATACACACACACACACACACACACACACACACACACACACACACACACTTTCTCTCTCTCTCTCTCTCTCTCTCTCGTGTGCATGCACATACATAAACAAAGGTTTGGCTTTTTTCACATAAATGCAAAAAAAAAAGATTAAAAGTGGGATTCCTTTTTAAAAAATCATGAAATTGTTTCTATATACAACCGACTATTCTTAGAGACCTGAACTTGTACTCCCAAGCCCTGGTCACTCCTACTTAGCCCAGTAGTAAATTATCTTTTATTTCCTTTGAGATGTTGTCAGAAATGGCTGTCTTCAGCCTTTGGGAAAGTCAGACCTGTTGGCATCGCCTGGCCATGCACACATCCCTAGCCCACACTGCCATTCCCAGCTGTGTTGACATCCCCAGACCCAGCAGCATCTATAGGTCATGCTCTTGGACCCTTGACCTTCCCCACTGCTTTCTCCATGGAAAACACAAAAGGTACTTTAACTGAAGGAAGTTAGAACAAGAACTCACAGCCTGGGGCTCCCAAACCCCAACCACACTTACCCCTGTTCTTACACATCAGATCATTACACCACAGCGTCTTGGCCTTTGGCTATGATTAAGTGTAGAGCATTAGGCAATCTTTTAAAGAGCCCTTTGGACTCATTGCAAGCCCAGACCCTTAACTCATGGTTTAATAGTAAGTTCCAGAGGCAGGAGAGGTGGCTCAGTAGTGAAGAGCCCTTGCTGCTCTTACAGACGACTGAGTTTAGTTCCAGTGCCGTGGCTGTCAACACACGGTCCTCTGTCACTCCAGCTGCAGGTGGGAAGGATTGACTCCCTCTTCTGGCCAGCATGGGCATCCTCCTCCTCACTCTCAACACACATATACATACATACAAATAAAAATAAAATAAATCTATGCTTGAAAGTTTCCCTGGCACCCCATGACCACTACACACACAACCAAACAACAGAAACCTCTTCCTCAAGAGTCTGTCTGTTCCTAAGGGCTCATTCACCAAGTTCCATCCCCCTCTCAATTTAATAGCCATCCCTGGCCAGCACTCTGCTGCCTCATGTGGCCACATGTAGCATTGCATGCCCCCCCCCACCCCATGAAAACCAAAGGTTCTAATCAGTTTGCCACGGCGTGGGTTTGTTTGTTTCTGAGACAGCAGGGTCACATGCAGAACCGAAAGAAATGCCAATAAAACCCTGGCTGGGGCTGGGCAGTGGTGGCTCATGCCTAGCACTCGGGAGGCAGAGGCAGGCAGATCTCTATGAGTCGAGGCCAGCCTGGTCTACAGAGTGAGTTCCAGGACAGCCAGGACTGTTTCACAGAGAAACCCTGTCTTGAAAAATAAAAAAACAAACAAACAAACAAACAAACAAAAAAAAACCTTGGTGGCCCCTCCCTCTCCTGCAGGCCTGCCACTCAGGGAGTACCACCAGCTCACTGGATGGATTAGAAAGGGACTTCTGGCCCCTGGTGGTGCAGACCTTGGCAACTGTGCATCAAACTCCAGCCAAACCCTTAGCCTCTCTCTGGCATTGCGCTCTGGCTTATTTATGAACCCACCCTCTGAAGTCTCGGGTGCAGGGTGTCTACCCATGACAAACCAAAGGCCTTTAAACCGGTCCAGCTCCCTAGTGTTCCCTTTCAAGCCAGGAAAATTCCCTTAGGAAAACTCTGGTTTCAGAAAGGCATCCCAGACAGAGAAAAGCCACAGCTTTCTCCTTCCTGGTAAACAACTCCTTACCAAAGAAACAGCTCCTTGCTTTGCAGCAGAGCGGGCTGCAAAGATGTCTCTGGTTCTCCCCACAGTACCTGAAGGAGATATGAGGCCCAAATGCCCCTCACCTTGGAAACAGGAAGTTGGGGGAATAACGCAAGACTGAACCAAAGGGTGTGATGTCAAATCCCAAAGCTGCACCCTCGGTCCCTGGCAGTCTCCATGAAGTCCAGCATCTTGAGCTTAATTTTAATGTACCATGGGGACAAATGGACTTGGCCAGAGAACTGAAAGCTGCCAGCTGGGACATGGAAAGAGGAATGTGACCCAGTGGGACAGACAGCTCTGTGGCCCTTGGCAGGCTCTGGTGACCAGTGGGACAGATAGCTCTGTGGCCCTTGGCAGTCTCTGGTGACCAGTGGGACAGACAGCTCTGTGGCCCTTGGCAGGCTCTGGTGACCAGTGGGACAGACAGCTCTGTGGCCCTTGGCAGGCTCTGGTGACCAGTGGCAGCTCCCTCGTCACTGGTGTCTCAACTCCTCCAGGGGTGATGACTGCAACCATCCTGGACTGGAAGGGACACTTTGCTCTGATGGGTAATGTGGCCACTGTATCTGTCCTTCCAGGGTCTCCCGTACAAGCACCTGATCACGCACCACCAGGAGCCCTCAAACCGTTATCTGATCACCACCTATGATGACCACTACAATAGACACAATTATAACCCGGGTGTGCCCGCCCTGCGGACCTGGAATGGACAGAAATTGCTGTGGCTGCCAGAGAAGTCTGACTTCCCCCTTCTTGGTACTTTTCTAATTGGAGATTTCCCCTGTGTTGCTCTGTAACGGGAACACAAATGCACAGGGCTGAGGTGTGTGCCCATCACAATGGCCTACAGGAGCAGTGGGGTGAGGTCACAGGAAAATGAGCCTTCCCTTGACATCAGGGATAACCCTGTAATGACAGCCTCACCTGCACCCCAGGGCCAGGGGTGGCTGGAAGCAACATATTCTCTATCCCACACCAGGCTTCCCTCTAGGCACAGTGATTGCATCTTTCTTGGGGTTCCTGGGGACTTAGTGGTGACAGGCACAGACTGTTTCTGCCCTCAGGGAATTGATGATTCAAGAAAGAGACAGACTTATTAATAACTAAAATGGAGTGAACAAGATTCAGATAGGGGTGTGTAAGAAAAAATTAAATAGGCAAGGGGCAGAGTATTTGAGAACTTTGTTTGTTTTTTTTAATTTTTTATAGACATATTTTATAGACATAGTGTTGCCCTGGCAGTCCCAGAAATAGCTTTCTAGACTAGACCAAGCTGACCTCAAACTCACAGAGATTCACCTGTCTCTGCCTCCTAAGTGCTGGAATTAAAGGCGTGCACCACCACCAGTTAGCTTTGAGGATTTTTTTTTTTTTTTTTTTTAATGTCCTTCCTGGCTTCTACTCACCCTGCCAACCTTGTGTTTTGTTTCGTTTGTTTGCTTTTTATGTATACAATGCTCTACTGTATGCCTGCATGCCAGAAGAGGGCACCAGATCTCATTATAGATGGTTGTGAGCCCCCACACGGTTGCTGGGAATTGAATTCAGGACCTCTGGGAGAGCAGCGGCCAGGGCTCTTAACTGCTGAGCCATCTCTCCAGCTCCCAGCCTTGGTTCTCATCAGCCTGGAAAACGTGGCAGCAGTGTGAGACAATTGTGCCTCCTGTTTGCTGGCCCTTGTGCTTCACCCTGGCAGCTCCTAGAGGTGGTATCTCCATTAGCAAGACAGAGCCAGGGTAGGCACCTGCTGTGCCATTCCAGACCCAGATGGATATATTGCTCTGGTGGGTGATGTGACTACGGTGTGTTTTCATCAGCACTAGGTATAAGACTCCTGGAAGCCCTGTGTCACCCCAACCTGATTTCTCTTGCAGCACCCCCAACAAACTACGGACTGTTAGAGCAAATGAAGCAGAAATGGCTTGCGCCCAAGACTGGCCTGAGGGGAAGCATTTACAGTACATCCTACCCCAGGCTGCCGGTGTGCGCTATGTCTAAGAGGGAGCATGCCATCCCAGTCCCTCCCCCTCGACTACACCCCATCCCACACTTCTGAGAACTACCAGCCAGAGCCAGCAAGAGACCCACGGCCTCACAGGACTTGTCAGAGAGCAAGCATCTGCAGATGTAACCCAAGAATTAATTATGGACCATTGTTGTGTGTGTGTGTGTGGGGGGGGTATCTTGGAATCATGATCTGTATTTTATGGTACCTTCTCTCTAAACTCGTTTTTGTTCCCACCCCATAATTAAAGCTCCTTTACACACCGAAACACTGCAAAGCCCAGTGTGTAAAGAGGTCAACAGATACCGTAGGAGAAAAACAGAGGAGTCCTGAGCCCATTGCATGTTACTGGTCACTGTGACCAAATATCTAACAGGCAATTGCTTAAGGGAGGAAGACTTTGTTCCAGCTCACAGTTCCAGGGGTACGGCCAGCCCATTGTGCTGGGACAAGGCCTGGTGACAGAAGCAGAAGGTAGCTGGTCCCCTTGCAGACTGAGTCATGAGTCAAGAATCAGGTGGCTTCAGTAATTCACCTCTTTTTGTCTCAGAATCCCATTCTGTGGAATAGGCCACCTATAGTTAACTCAGTCTAGCCCATCGCCCTCAAGCATGCCCGAGGATTTCCTCTTCTGAGAGACTAGAGCTTATCAAGATGACAATGGGTATTGACTACTGCAAAGCCCTTAAAAATGTATCTATTTGTGTTTGTGCATGCCCACACATAGAGGTCGGGTGACAACTTTTGGGAGTTGGTTCTACCCTTCTACCATGTAGGTTCTGGGACTTGAACTCAGATTGTCAGGCTTGGCAGCAAGTGCCCATGATGAGTGAACCATCTCATCAGTCCACATCACAAGTCCTTAAGTTTGATTTCCCATATTCCACAGAAGGGGAAACTGAGGCACAAAGAGGCCACAGCTCCTCAAATTTTGCAACCTGGTACATATTTTCAAGGAATGCCAGGGCCAAGTGTGAAAAGCAGACATAGTTCTGAGACCCATGAGGAAGCTGCAGAGAACAGGGATGGTGACTTGAGGTCAGTTTCAGGACAGCAGGTGGTAAGGACGGAGTCCACCTCACTGAAGTTGCTGAGGTTACAGGAGAGGTGTGCTGGTGCAAAGGAAGTCATTGGACATTGTCCTCTGCCTCTGGGCTCTCAGAAGAGGGCTTTAAGGAGATTGGAATACATCCTGGGGTTGGACAGATGGCTCAGTGGATAAGAGCACCGGCTGCTCTTCCAGAGGACCCAGGTTCAATTCCCAGCTCACATCTGTCTGTAACTCCAGTTCCAGGGGATCTGACACCGTTGCACAGACATAAATGCAGGCAAAACAGCATTACACATGCATACACATCTCCATCATTTATCCATTCATCAACTTACTCATCTCTCTAGAAATACAGACTTTTCTCCAACCCTATATCCATTCACACATATCTCTCCATCCATGCATCCATCCATGCATCCATGCATCCATCCATTCCAGCCATGACAGTGCAACTGGCTTCACTAGATTATCTAATGTGGTCTCCCATCCAAACAAACAGCAACTGTTATCTGTTTTGCAGAAAAATAACCAATAGAAAATTGTTCTTAGATTTTTGCAACAGAGAGAGAGTTGAGCTCAGCATTTGTTGAGGATTGAGCATGATGTCTGACTAACCACCATATTCCAAGGTTCAGAATCATTGGGGCCATTTCTGTTTCACAGGTGAAGAGGAAATTTGCACATTAAGATTCATGGGATGCCTGAGGTTACACAGTTTGCAAAGCCCAGACAAGTGGCCCACAGTGTGCTCATCGAGCTCTTGTCCTTTGGGCCTCTCCACAAGATGCCTGGGGTCCTCTCCATGCTTGACTCACAGGCCAGTCAGTGTGTGTCTGTGATTTTACACTGCAGGCAAACAATGTGACTCAAAGTCCAGAGCCTGACTTTTGTGTCATCCCTTACACAGGATACGGGCCAGCCGTCTGCTCCAGGTAACCTCTGTACCTACTCTGGCTCCTTCCTTAGTTTTCCAAGTAAACAGAAGTTAGACACTGACACATACTAATGGCTTGGTAAATGTTTGTTGAATGACATCCACATTGGAAAGATCTGATCCAGCCAGGTAGAGCCAAGGAAAATGCCCCTGGGGAAAAATGTTTAGGTCAAAGTGACAAAGCTCAGGGGATGTGCGGGGGCGGGGGTGGGGGTGGGGTGTGTGTGTGTGTGTGTGTGTGTGTGTGTGTGTGTGTGTGTGACTCAGATCACAAGAGTGTGCTGATCAGTGTGCTGATCGAGCACTCTGCCAGAGTCAGCTGCTTGGCAGTTGTGGAAAGTTCAGCACATCAGTTTGCCGTGGCTGCTGTAACAATAATACCACCACCCCATTACCTTAAGGGGATGAGCACCTATGTTCCTACAGTTCTGGAGATGAGAAGCACTTCCAGAAAACAAGGGGTCCGGGGACACCTACACTCACACACTCACATCACAAGTTCACAGGTTCTAGTCATTTATACGATGCCCTGTCCAGCTGGCTGAGATGGTTGGGGGGGGGGAGAATTACCTTAGCCCCTGGAGACTATGGCTGCCTAATACATACATGTACAGTGCCTTAGGGCTTCTATTGCTGTGGTGAAATACTACATCCAAGGTAATTTGGGGAGGAAAGAGTTTATTTGGCTTATACTTCCATATTGCTGTTCATCACGGAAGGGAGTCAGAACACAAATTCAAACAGGGCAGGAACAGAGAGGCAGAACTGATGCTGACACCTTGGAGGAGTACTGCTTACCTGTTTTCATGGCTTGCTTAGCCTGGTTTATACATACATACATACATACATATATAATCTAAAACCACAAGACTAGGCAAGAGACTACCCACAATGGGCTGGGTCCTCCACCAGCAATCACTAATTAAGAAAATGCCCTATAGGTTTGCCTACAGCCTGGTCTTCTGAAAGTATTTTCTTCTGTGTATCCTTGGCTGTCCTGGAACTCTGTAGACCAGGCTGGTTTCAAACTCAGAGATTTACCCGCTTCTGCGCCTCTGAGTGCTGAGATTAAAGGCGTACACCACCACTGCCTGGCTGAAGGTTTTTGTTTGTTTGTATTTTGTTTGCTTTGTTTTGTTTTTTTGAGACAGAGTTTCTCCGGGTAACAACTGGAGCTGTAGACCAGGTTGGCCTCAAACTCACAGAGATCTGCCTGCCTCTGCCTCCCAAGTCCTGGGATTAAAGGCATGTGCCACCACTGCTTGGCCTATCTTCTTAACTGGGGTTCCTTTTGATGACCAGACTAGTTGACATAAAATTAGCCAACACAGGTACACACAATACATTTTAAGAAAGTCAGACAAGCCAGGGATGATGCTGGCACATGCTGGAGGCAGGAGGCAGGAGAGTCTGAGTACAGCCAGTTCTATCTACATAGTTACTACATAGCTGGGGCTGTGTAGTAAAACTGTGTCTCAAAAATGATCTGTGATCTGGTTGACCAAGGTGGGATTTTCTCTAATTCTCCTCCAGGGAGGCCCTTCTTTCTCCACTCCCAGGCTCTACCTTGGCCAGCATCAGAATGCCCTGGGGGAGGGGGAGGTCACTGGCCCACCACTACATCTCTGGATCTGTAGGATAAAGGCAACTCACTGCCATTGTTCTGACAAATGTCCCAGAGGCTACCACTGCTGCATCAGTTCTGAGTCACTCCTAGAGGCCAGGGTTCCCTCTGTGTATGTGGTGATATATTGTTTATGGTTTAATAAAACTTGCCTGGGGATCAGAATGCAAAGCCAGCCGCACTAGTTAGGTATAGTGTTGTGCCAGGATCGAGGAGCCCCAGACCAACCCAAGGAGCCAACACCTCTGATGCAAAAGCAAAGGTTTCTTTTTATTGTTCAAGCTGGCCAGTTTAAATCTGACTCCATTGGTGGGGAGGGGTTATGAGATGCCAACCAGTCATAAAGGAGAGCTTTTAAAGGTGCAGACTAGCAGGTACATGGTTATTTAAGGTCATACAAAGTACAGAATAAAGCAGTAACTATATATTTTAAGCAAGTTACATTTGAGTAACAGAAGACAGGGCACAGGGTTGCAGGGTTACTGAGTCACAGGGTCTGTCAATTATCCCCAGGGCCTGGGGATCTTTACAAACAGCAGGGGACCTTTCTGACCAGTAATTAACAGAAGAGTGTTGACAAAGTGGTAGATAGTCACCTCCCCTTCTCTGAGAGCTGGGGGCTGGGAATGCTGTGTCGGGCACCTGAGCCCCTGCTCTCAGAAAGGGGAGGTGACTATCCACCACTTTGTCAACATTCCCAGTCTTTAGAAGTTCCCTTTTTAGGGCCCAAGGTTTTTTGTTTGGTTTTTTTGAGATAGGGTTTCTCTGAGGCTTTTGAGGCTGTCCTGGAACTAGCTCTTGTAGACCATGCTGGTCTCGAAATCACAGAGATATGCCTGCCTCTGCCTCCTAAATGTTGGGATCAAAGGCATGTGCAACCACTGCCTGGCTGGGCCCAAGTTTTTAAACTTTTATTAATTTTAATTTTTGGTGCTTCATGAGGTAGTTAAATGAGCTCTTGTTTTTTTTGTTCTGTTTTGTTTTGTTTTTGTTTTTGTTGTTTTGGTTTTTCAAAACAGGGGTTCTCTCTGTAACAGCTCTGGCTGTCCTGGAACTAGCTCTTTGGATCAGGCTGACCTTGAACTCACAGAGATCTGCCTGCCTCTGCCTTCCCAGTGCTGGGATTAAAGGCTTCAGCTGAAGCAAGATGAAGGAACCTTTGCTGACACAGTTCCCTCTGCCAGAGTGCAGTGGTATCTTGGCTATGGAACCCAGCACTAGAGATTTCCTTGGAATCAGGCTGTTGGAGGTAGGCGGGAGAACTCTGGCATCTGCCTGCACTCCCACCCTGGCTGGTCCTCAACACAGTTTACAGGCTCCCTGGTTTTTCACTTAATCTCTCTGTGTCTAGCATTAACACTAGAAAATGGGTGTGAGAATAATTCAGAGGTAAACCAAGCTTAGTGGAACACTCCTGTCATCCCAGCACTCAGGATGCAGAGGCATGAAGATCAGGAGTCAGCCCAACCCTTGGTTACTTTGCTAGTTTGAGACAAAAGTGTGGGTTACAAGAGACCATCTCAAACAAAACAAACAAAAAACAACTAAAAAGAAAAAAAAAAAAAATCACAACCAAACAGCCTCACCTCCGCCTCTGGCTGTTT